GCTTCCGTTGGATACTCAGAACACCACCACCACCCAGACCTGGGCCCTGAGCCATTCCTGGGGTAGTGTCCTGCACAGCTCACACACAGCCAGGGTGACCCCTCTCCAGTGGCCTGGGCATGGGATTTAGGAGACTTGAGTATAATCATTCCTGAGGAGGAACTACTGTGTGACTTTTGGCAAATGGATAGCCTCTCTGAGTTCCATTACTTCAACCTTCAAGTGAAGGTGTTAAATGGGGTACTGCAGATGTCTTCCACGCCACCCTGCAGCTGGAGCAGGTCTGCCCTCCTTTTTTCCTTCGTGGTTAGCTTAACTGCTGGAGGAGCACGGTTGGGAGGGCAGGTGAGCTGTGGGCCAGGCGCTTGGCTGGTGGTGCTGAGCCCTCTGAAGGTGCGCTGCGATGACCAGTCAGACCTTAACAGGGCCTCACAAAGGAGGCTCAGATGTTGCTTCACCGTAAAGAGAGCAGGGAGTCTTCCTGTTATGGGTAGAGGCCAGCTGAGACCTGTCAGGTAACAGGCCACAGCCACCCGGCCAGTCAGAACCAGGGACCCTCAGGAACCTTGTCCCCCAGGACGCTTGCTTTGAAGAACACGGTGAAAGAAGTCTCCTTTCAAGGGTCCCCTCCTTGACTCGGGACACGCAGGATGCCTGCGGGTGTTTAAGAGTTTATTTTTTAATAAGTTGGTCTGTTCCAGTTAGGTCTGTACAGCAGCAGAGTACACTTGATCCACTGCACACACTGCAGCACGACTCTTCACTTCTGTGGTTGTACCATACGTGCAGTCACACACGTACCCAGGGTAATGATGTCCGTCCATCGCCTTCCACCGTCTTTCCTGCCCCCGTTCCCCTCCCTCCCCTCTTCCCAGTCACAGCTCTTCCGCCCCCACCCAGCTCCCCAGTGTGGCTCAGCATCCACTTTGCAGAGAGAACTTCTGGCCTTTGGTTTTGGGGATTGGCTTACTTCACTTAGCATGGTATTGCCCAGCTCCACCCATTTACTTGCCAATGCCATGATTTCATTCTTTTTTTATGCTGAGTAATATTCCATTGTGCATATGTACCATAGTTTCTTTATCCAAGGATGCCTTTCTTTATCGAAGGGCATCTAGGTTGGTTCCCCAGTTTAGCTATTGTGAATTGAGCTGCTATAAACATGGACGTGGCTGTGTTACTGTAGTAAGTGTGCTTCTTTCTGGCCTGTTTTAAAAAGAAAGTCCCTGCCCCGTTCTGGACAGCCGCTGACATCCCACTCCCATGCTGTGGGATTGCGAGGAAGTGCAGGACACAGCTGGTCAGGTGCGTGGGGTGGTGAGGAGCCTGCTTGGCACGCAGAAGGCCGGCTCCAAGGCAGGGAGCCACACAAAGCCCTGTGGTCACGAGCTAGTCACAGGGAGCTTGACAGTGTGCCCCAGTCCTTGTTCCACAGAAGGTTGGGTGGCCAGTGCGGGAGGTGGGCAGCCCAGGCGGGATCCCCGGAGCCTGTGGGCTGGCAGCAGGGAGGCTTCCTGGGGTCCCCTGTGAGTGGCTCCCTGCTGGAACTGCTTTCCACCACCCTGAGGTTCTCTTTCCCAGTGGCCAGCGGTGGGGAAACAGCAGGAACAGAGCTGGTTCGTCCACGTGGGGTAGGACGGTGTCATGGGGTCACAGGCAGGCCCTCCAAGTGTGCAGGTGGGCTCCTGCCAGGCCCAGCCAGGTCGAAGCTGCTCCCAGTTCTCCACCGCCCTCGGGACTCTGGTCCTGTGAGCCGTGTGGCAACTGGTCATGTGGTGCCTGCCCTCTGGTACCCGCAGGGATGCGAGTGCCAGGCAGGAAGTGAGTCCGGGGTGAGGACACTCAGCCTATGGGGTCCCTGTGTGTGCCAGACAGATCTGGGCCCATGCCCAGCGTCCTGTTTGGCAGGTGCTGGGCTGGGCTGGGCTGGGCTGGCAGGGAGCCCCTGTGCAGTCGGGACCCAGGTCTTGGCCAGCTTTGGTTGCAGTGGTCAGCTGGTTCTGTTCTTGGCCTGGTGCCCTTGGGGACCAGGCTGGCCCTGCTTCCTGGAACCAGTGAATCCTGCTGGCTACTTTGCCTGTGCTGTCTCGGGGGCCTCTGGAGGCGTGGTGCTGTGGGCAAGTCCTGGGCAGAACAGTCTCTGGCAAGTTCAGAACACAGACCACCTCCCTGAGGCTGCACCGTCCCCACAGCCCCGAGTGCTGACCCTTTTGATGGGTGGACCCTGACACCCGCAGAGTCCCCCGCCTCTAACTCCTGGGCCCTGCAAGACGTCACAGCAGCGCCGCTGTCCTTCTTTGTGGTGTCTAGAAGGGACAGAAGTCGGCGTCCCAGATGTCCCAGCGGGGCCTGCCACACGGGCTGCTGCAGTCAGACACCCCAGGAGTGTTCCTGCCTGCGCGGGGCAGTGTGTCCTGCTCTTCAAGAGCACCCTGGCGCCCTGCCCAGGTGGGCCTGGAGATAGGGGCTGTTTGGAGGGTGCCGCTGGGACCTGGAGCCGGGGAGAGAGGAGGTGGGCAGGAGCTCATCCGAGGGTGACTGCAGGGGCCTGGCCAGGCAGGGATCCCTTGAGCCTGCTGCTGCCTAGAGACCCTCTGTCACTTTTGAACCCCAGAGTCCCTGCAGCCGTCTCATCACATGGGGGTCGGGAGAGGAAGGGCTTGGCCGTGGGGTGAGCCTGGCTGGGTTGCCCGTGGAGGAGGGCGCTGCCTTATCTCCCTGGACCCGGCCGTGAGCCCACACAGCTGCGCTTATCGGGCCACACAGGGTACCCCGAGGGCGCCAGCCTCCTGCCCATGCCCCCTCTTTGATGTGGCACAGCTGCTTTCTGTGTCACCTGCTGTAAGGTGGTGGGCTCCTACGAACTGGCATCAGAGCAGCTGACCTTGGGGAAGCTGAGGTGGGCAGCCGAGGTTCCAGGCAGCCTCGGGCAGTGTCCTGTGACTGTAGGACTTGGGAAGGTCCGGAAGGTGCCATTATTTACTTAAGGTTGCCTTTCGTCTTGGACCAGCCTCACCTGCATCATGCAGTGGTCTGCCCGGGCACCCTGGCTGCCAGTGACCTGTTTTTTTAATGTCAGGAGAGGGGTCTGCATCACTGGGAGGAGGGGCTCTGCCCAGAGTGGTCATGGTCTGGCACCTGCTGGTTCTCTGTCCACTTGGCCCTGGCTCAGAACAGCTGGAGCCAGGGAACTGCTGCCTTGGATCTCCAGGGCAGGACTTTGGGGTGGCCACAAAGGACCTCTTGGGGATTGCTGTGTTGGTGTGGGGTCCAGCATGGCCTCTGGTTGCCCTCTTTCCTGGGCTCCGAGGGTGGGGGAGGTCCCTGGCTGCCACTCAGCACAATCAGCCCCTGCTGGGCTCCTGGCCCCTGGAGATGGCTGTGGAGACTGCAGCCTGCTCTCCTTGGGGGATGAGAGGTGGGCCTGCGAGGCAGCCTGGGGCTGGTTGCCACTCTCCTGCCCACCGGATGGGTAAGTGATGCAATCCTCTGGCGTCTTGCCTCATCCGGAAGGCGGGGAGCCGGTAGGAGGGGCTGAGTCACCACGTGGTGACACAGTCACCTATCAGGAAATGTGAGACTCCTGCAGACGCAGGACCCGCCCCCCGCCCAGCAGAGAGGTGCCAGGCTGGAATAGAAGCCTTGCTGTGTTGCCGGGAGCCCTGGGAAAAGGCCTGCCCCCCTCACCGCCTCCCCCAGTGTGTGTCAGGGAGGGGGCTCAGGGACAAATGTGTCCTTGTAGTAGTCAAAATGACCACCTTCAGCACGCGTCAACCATGCCTTCTCAAGGCAGAGTGACCTGTCGGTCGTTACAACAGCCCCAGGACAGAGAAGTCAGGGAGCCAGCTAATGAGGTGCTTCCGAAGGAGCCGGGCCAGCACCCTGGCGCTCTCCTCCCTCATGGAGTCGTTGGTTTGAAGCCTGTTTCTCAGACTTTGCAAATGGCTGTAGCAGAGAAGCCCCCAGTTGTCTGTCAGGCCCGTCTTCACCCGGCCTTCTGGCAGCGCTGCGTAGGGGTCAGGAAGGGCCAGCCCAGCACCTCTCAGACCTTCCTGCAGCCTGTGGAGTCCAGCAGGCCTTCCAAGGCCTTGTACTGCCCACCTTACAGCAGCCCCCAGGAAGGGCCTGCCTGGGAGAGCTGGTGTCTTGGGCGTGGGGACCATTGGGAGTGCAAGAGGTCCACAGCCAGGGAGGAGCCAGGAGCCGTGGCCCTTTAGCTGACCTCATTTCAGCAGCTACGCGTGGGACAGCTGTGCCACCGGCTCGTGGGCACTCACCGGTGGCTCCTGGGCACTGAGATGCCCACCGCCCACCCTGGCTCAGGGCTGGATGTCCAGTGGGGCTGGCAGGACCAGCTGCAGGCTTGAGCCCGTGACTCCTGCAGATGCTGCATGCCCACCTGGCCCTCCAGGGCACTGGTTTCAGGCTTTCCCGGTGCAGTTGCGCACGTCTGCAGAAGGTTCCAGAGTGGATTTCTGTCTTGGTGTCTGCTAGCCGGGGAGCAGTGGAACTGGAGCACATGCTGTCCCCTGAGCCCACCTGAGTGCCCTGTGTCGGGAGGCCTCCTGCTCCTCTCCTGCCACCCATGGTGGCTGCGTCCACTTTGTCCTGTTTCTCTCTTGGCCTGTCAGGTGGCCCCCTGTTTCATGGGACCCCATGGAGCTCACTTGGGGGCAGAGGTGACGCATCCCTCTTCCAGGGGCAGAGTTTCTTTGATATGAGTCTGAAGCTGGCACTTCCCCGCAGGTGGAGGGCACTTCTGCCCCTCAGGGCAGGTCAGCTCAGTAAAAGGAAGTCCTTTGCCCCAGCCTAGGGCACCTGGGATCCAGCTCTTTTGAGAATTTGGTGTTTCCAACCTTTGACCTTCAACCAGGAAGTTGATCAAAACAAGTCCCAGAAAACCTGAAACTGGGGGGAGGGGGCTGGTGGGGACACTCCTGTTTCTGTTGGATCTGCCCCCAGCCCGAGGCACCCTGACCCTGCCTGCCCTGTCTCCTCAGTGCTGCTCACGGCCGTGAACTGCTACAGCGTGAAAGCTGCCACCCGCGTGCAGGACGCCTTCGCGGCAGCCAAGCTCCTGGCCCTGGCCCTGATCATCCTGCTCGGCTTCATCCAGATCGGGAAGGGTGAGTGGCAGCTGGCCTGATGCGGTGCTGGGCACCTGCTGCATGGCCCCAGCCAGGTGGGCCCTGCCCTGGCACCGTGCTCCCACATGGGGTGAGTCCTCTGGGAAGGCCGATGCCCTTCCAGGTGGGCAGGGAGCCCCTCCTGCACACACCCCAGGAAGTGTGTGCGCAGACTGGCCCCCGGCGCCCCGGGAGCAGGGCGGGAGTTCAGTTCTGTGCTATGGGTGCTCACCTTCAGGGCACCTTCAGGCCACCTCTAGGGAGAGCCAGGACACTGTGTCCTGTGAGTGGCCTGCTGCCCTGTGCCCTGTGACTGAGCTGGGCTCCTTGTCACACCGCAGGCTGTCATTGGCAGCTGTGGATAGGGCCTCCAGGGAGCTCTTGTTGGTGTTCCTTGGCAAACGCAGTGGCCTTGTCCCTGGGCCTGCAGCTATGTGGCTTTGGATTAAGCGCACACCTTAATCCCAGCTGCTCAGGAGGCCGAGGCAGGAGGATCTTAAGTTCCCAGCCAGCCTCAGCAACTCAGTGAGGTCCTGTCTCTAAACAGAATCCAAAACAGGGCTGGGATGTGGCTCAGTGGTCAGGGCCCCCGAGTTCAGTCCTCAGTACTCCCCCTTCCCTCCCCCGCAAAAAACCCCCGGAGGATTATTGAGAGCCCCTTGAGAGGGAGTGTCACCCAGGGGATAGCATAAACCCTAGTGCCTGTCCTCAGTGGGGACCCAGCTGGGGGCACATTCTGAGTGGTGTGGAGACTGCAGGTGAGGAACACGTCCTCCTCCGTTTAATGGAAATAAAAGATGAGCAGACAGAGGCCTCAGACATTCGGGGCCAAGCCAGAGCAGCACTGGGGGCGCCTGTGTTAAGGTGCAGACCAGGTTTGGTGGTGACCTTGTGGCTCTAGGCCAGTCACCGGGTGTCAGAGTCTTTCCCTGGCCACCTTCTCAGGGGCTGGGAGGAGTGAAGGGGAGTCCTGTGCAGGTGTTGATGGACGGCCACCTTGCTGGGCCTCTTCCTGCCACCTCCTGCACCTTTGCTGCGGGCCCGCCCCCTTCCTTTCCAGGCTGTGGAATGCTCCGTAGCTGAGAGCCGTGTGGTCTGATCAGACATTCCTCCTTCGGTGGGTCACAGCCCTGGACACACACCGAGTGCTGAGGTTGGCCTCTGTGGGCTCTGGCGGCAGAGGGGTCCTGACTGTCCTGGCTCTGGGGCAAGGCCACCCCTCCTCCCCACTGGCCCTGCCCCCC